AATAAATAAATAGCAACTTATCAAAATCACATGTAAACATGAAAAAAATGTCATTGGCTTCTCAACTAATATAGAGAAAATTAAAGAGATTCACTTATCCCCAACCCAATAAAATTAAACAAACTCGTCAATTATAAATTGATTTTGTACCATTGACATTAAACTCTGTTTAATATAAACAAAGACCAGAAATTAAATAACAAATTTAAAAAAAAAATCACATGCAGTTCTTCTAATTTACTGTGAAGCCTGGTGGGTTATACTAAAATAAGACTGGTAAAGACTTAATTAGTACTAGTTAATGAATCACAAAGTCAAGTTGTTGAGATTAACATTAATTCAATACTTGATTACTTCTACATTTCTATATAAACAACAATACACGTAAGCCTAAACACACCAAGTTAACAAACTAAACTCACACAATGGATTTAGATACAGAAAACACTTTGACTCTGAGCGTCGCAACATTTCTCCTTCTTCCCATACTATGGATAAAAGTTCAGAGATCGAAACGGATCCAGCCTGAATATAAAAGAGGTAAGTTCTTTATTGGTACATATACATGCATGAACGTATTACATATATAAACCACTCGTAAATACAATTTCTATAAATTAAATGAGTCTATTAATTGTTTTGACAGGAATGACTATGGGATTGATTCTTGTTTCAGCTCTTGTGGTACTATGCACCAAAGCATATACGGAGTATGAATACTTTACCGATGTATTTCAACTAGGTATGTCTCTAACATTGATTCCAAAAATATTCATAATCTTATTTGATCACACAATCACATATATCTTCTTGTGATGAAAATAGCTACACTTCTCGTTTGTGCCATACTCGTCATGTTGGTTACAAGAGCATGTTGGAGAGAACGAATGTACAAACTAGGTATATATGCCAAAGCTTCTTTATCTCATTTTCTATTATTATGATTAGTCATATATGATATTCACATTTTAATTAATATATATGTTTAAAAACCCTCCAAAGTCGCTGATTTTTACAATTTTACCTTTTAGCTTCGAAAAATACAATAAAAATCATACAAGATTAAAAACAATATGCAAAAGTCATAAAAAATAAATTGGTGCCTTTGATGGTTTTTTCTCTCACAAACCCCTATATTTAACACGTATATATATATATACCAGAAATTTACAATACTATGTTTTGGTTTTAATAAGACAACTGCATTTTGTAGGAATAATGATACCAGTCGTAGCACTTACCATGCTCGCGTTTGTGGCACTTTTTGCAAGAGAGCCAACTCCAAATAATTACTCACCTGTCTCATCAGGTAAATAACTAAACAAGGATACTTTTGCATAGTGAGTTGTGTGATTCTAGAAACGTTTTCTTAATATTGCAAATATTCATTGATATGTTTTGTGCTTTGTTCTTTCTTCCTGATCATTTCCTAAAAATGAATAATAGAGACGAGACCAGAACTCCCTTCTCCCATGTCCATGCCTATGTCCTCGGAACCGATGGTGAAAAAATTGATTGCCGGCAAATCATTTTACATTAAAAAGATAGGATCCAAACTGAGCTTTCTTGTGTTTACTGTCTTTTTTTTTTCTTGTGTTCAGTGTCTTATGTGTCTGTTATGGAGTTTAGATCGGAATGTTTCTAAGAATGATATGTTTACGTACGTGCATCGTTAAGTTTTGTACGTATATATGAATTATTTGTGGCTAGACAGTATTTGCTTTGTTTTATCTATTAATGTAAGACTTTCAAGAATGTTAGAACAATAAAAACATTTCTACACGAAACTTAATAACAAAGTTTACTTTTATTGATCAGTACGTGTATACAAAATTAATGACTAGGATTCTTTTTTCTTTTGTTCAACTAATCACTAGGAGTTTTTGTTTTTTGTTTTTTTTGTCATCAACATAATTAGATGGGTTCATGCCAATCGAAAGGAATAATGTTTACAAATTTGATAAGATGCAAATAGACACGAGTTTTGCGTACCAAAAAATTGGCTTGTGCATTTATATTTCTAGTTATAAGAGACAAAGAAAATGACGAGAATTTTTCCCTATCAGATTTAAAGTATGATCAATAGGAGTTTATAACTTTAAAAATAATTACGTACGACCACATATATTTTTCTTTTTTTGGATAAACCCTATCGGCTGATCCGGTCAGCCCCGTTAGAAACGCACCGAAGTGCTTCAGAGTGGATTTCTCCCCAAAGGGCCACCACACTGTCTAATGCCAGGGGGTAGTCACCCGCCTGCATTTTTGACTACTAGGTAAACCAATTGGGCCAAGACCCAACTGAAAAATTTCCAACACAACAATAATTTTTGTTTCCAAGGTAGATCGACACAACAACAATTCTCCCTTACCACTGGACCACTGTTGTGCGGGCTACGACCACATATTTATGAGATATAATATAAATTAATTAATTTACCACTCGTCAATTTTAGATTGATCTTGTACAGTTGTGTTACCATTGACATTGGGAACGAACCTCCTTAAAATCTGTTTATAAACAAAGACCAGAAGTTAAATAAATCTCATAAAACTTTCACATGCAACGTCAATAACATGTGTTTTGTTGTTCTAGTTTACTGAAGTGTAGTAAAATAATCAAATTAAGACTCTACGACGTTCTTTGTTCAGGCCCATCGTTTCTAGGTAGTTTCGTAAAGAATATTTTCTTTGTTCTATTTTTTTTTTATTAATGGGCCTGAACTGTACATCTATGAATCTATTCATAGTTGTATGGAGAGGTTGAGATTGGACCTAGGTGGTAGCCTGAAGCAGAGAAATATTTGTAAGGTTCTGCTTGTTTGTAAATGTTTTATAAAAAAACATATGTATAATTTTTAAAGTCATTTTTAAATATATATATATATAATATTAAAAAAATTTATTAAGGTTTTTAAAAAAATTTATAAGGTTTATCAAGGCTTAAAATAGAGATTACATAGTAGTATTTGGTGAAAATACGCAATAGTATTTTTGAACATTTTTTTAATCGGTATTTCTCAAAATTTCCTAAAAGAAAAAACTTCTCAAAACTTCCTAAAAGAAAAACACTTAACAACTTTTGAAGAAATTAAATACAAGTGCAGGCAAACAACACCATTTGGAGATTCAAAGTAAGTTTCATATATGAAAGAACTTATGCAAAAATTTATATCGAGATTTGAATTTTTTTATAATGGGTAAAATATTCATGTACATGTTAATGCTAAAAGCCTAAAACACACACACAAAGTTTTTATGCTTAACATCTGACTTAGATTAATGAATAAGAGTTTTACAAGTAATGTAAAAGCCAAATAGGTACTGTTTCTGTATTTTTTTGTATATTTTAAATTTAACATATGCTATTTTGAACTTTAATTAATTTGATAGATAGATATCTTTATTATTTATATTTTTGTTTAAACACAAAATATCAACATATAACATTTAAAAGATAATGTAAAACAAAACTTTGATTTCGAAATAGAAAGATGAACTGTAACTTCAAAACTTCAAATATGAAAATAACACTCTCTACTTTCTGGAGTACAAAAAAAATGAAATTCTTTAAGAGAAAATAAAATAGCCTCAAGAACTTTAACTTTATATGTAACTTCTATTTGGTTGGAATTGGATTACCAAAAAACTCACACTCTCATTGTAAATTACTGAGAGCACAAGCAACAAAGCAGAGAGAAACAGAGATGCAAGAAACCACCAGCAAAATCCTCTTTGTACTTCTCCTCTTCTTTCTAATTCTCTCACCTTCCACACAAAACCCACAAGAACAAGACATATACTACTGTGGTAACACTCCAATCCCAAACCCATCTAATCTCATAACCTGCAGATCTGGAAAACTCTACTTCAAAACCTCAACTGGTCTTCTCTCCCATGTCTCCAAAACAGAGGAAGTGAAATTGAGAGCAAGGGTCTCTATGGAAGTCGAAGGTCACATACCTGATTTATGCATCTCCTGTGAGAGACCTGATGGTAACTGTGGTGTTGCTCTAAGATGTCTCTGTCATCCTAAAGAGTGCAGTTAAGTCTTGACTTTATTACAATGTAGATTATCTCTCTGTGTGTTATTGATGTTTTGTTTTACTCTGTTTCTTTGCAGAGAATAAAGTTGTAAACTTTGGAATAAAGTCTCAAGCTTTATCTGGTAAAACACAGCTTGTTCTACTTATGTCAATGGGTTTGTTTCTCATCTGGTTTTGAATTTGTAAATTTCACTCATTTAGCTTCAAAATTAGGACTTTGATACAAATTTGTGTGTTGTGTTTCCTTATGGAACACAAATTTGGATATAATCTATGGTTGTTGTTTGTTTCAATGTCTGGTGCTTGGAAAGGAGTTATATACATCTGGTGTTGTAATAGAGATGAATGATAATATGACTTTGAGTTTATCATGGTTACATACAACTCTGGTTTCTCCTTTGGTGGATTATGATTGTTTTGTTATGTTTATGAAGTTCATACGAAAGCATAAACCTAACAGAACCAGTTCAGTTCCTTGAGTGGCTAGGATACTAAAACAGGCAATTTTAAGTGGATATTAAGAGGTGGAAGCTGTTGTGTTGGAGGGTACAGATGTGCAGAACCAAGAACTGGAGTAAGAGAGAGAGAGTTTTGATCTCTAAAGGTGGTAGCTTTGTTCTTCATATTTTCTTCCACTAGTCTTAGGATCCGAGTAGCAGGTCTTTGTAAGGAGTGTGTGAATTTTGTTATTGTGTTTACACCAAATCCCATAGACTGTAACGTGTGAGGAAAAGATTAGTAGACCACGCTAAGATTTGGTAAACATGGCTGATAATTCAAGTCCAGGACTTGCTAGTCGGACTTGTTTGTGAGAGAAAGGAGCAGTAACATAGTCTGAGAGAAATGGGGAGGTGAAAGAAGTGGTTGTGCCATTCGTTGTGAAAACCCTATAAGAGATATATGTTATCAACTTGGAGACCCCAATTGATCAATCTGTCTGAGTAGGGTGTTGATTTGGTACAAAAGACCACACCAAGTTCCCTGTTTTTGCTACATGGTTCACCTTGTTGGCTTGTAGCCCTGCAACAAATTCGTAAAGAACAATCGAAATCGTCGTTGCTTCATTTAACTCCTTTAACTTCGCGCTTTGGTTGAGTGGATGAACCTAAGCCTAGTTATGAATTATGCTTCCATGTTTTTACTTTTTTTTTTTGCCATGAATCCATCTCTATATGTCTATAATCATCGATTGTAATCTGAAACAGAATAGACAGTCCTACATGCCATATAGTTTCTATAAGAGCCAGAGCAATGTGTAAAGTAATGTGACTCACATTATGTGAGCTTCAAATCTAGTAGCTGGGAGATTCCGATAACCCTCATCGCGCTATAGACGCTAGAGAGCTTAGATTAAAGGGGATCGCCGCGGATGGATGGACCAAATGTGAATACATACAAGCTAAGTTTCAAAGTCTTGTGGAAGTCTAAGAATAATGTGACTAAGGAAAGACTTAT